GGCACGCTAAAACATAATATATTTCTTTCCCCTTTGCTCGGCTCCCCTAGAAACAAAAATAACCCCTCTAATTGATATAACTTTCATTCATGCCGCGTAAACCCGCGGAAGAAGCCGGCTAAATGGACAAACCTCCGGGTGGCAAGTTGTTCGGCTGAATTATCCACAGGTTCGAGTGTTTTACGGCTCGGCACGTCCGAATTAATCCAGGTACGAGATAGGATTTCTACACATAAAACACTCGGCTGGATTTTATTATGATTGTGAACAAGTCGCTAAGACGTTTTCATCCTAGGAGGGCAGAAACTTTTGAAAAAAAGTTTTATATATTTTTAAAATTTGTTTTACACCTTTGTTACTTGAGGATGGATATATATGAAACAAAAATTTTCAAAAATGCAATACAATCCCTCCAAATATGAGATATTATATGTACTAAAAATTCTTAACATACCATATAATTTGCACTAAAACTATTAAATACGCAGGATGAATGACAGTGGCATTATCCAATTAATAATTAACTAATTGCTACTCATCACGTTGATCTAGTAAATATTCATTTTGAAAGGAAATAGAACAGAAAATTTTCAGTCACACAACAATTCATATAATTTAACATATTGGACTAAATAACTAAGCTGGATTGAGGTCATGATGTGAATCGACATTGGCAATGATATACTTTTCAAAGTTAGTTTCTGTAAAACCACAACTTTTACAGCTCAAAGTAATATTTGTATGTGTGTTTCCAACGTTTTAAAATAATTGAACCGTCGTATCCCTACTGATCAACATAATATAAAAAGTGGGACGTTTATGGGCCGACAAACAGCTGAGGTAATCGCCGGCCTTCTGCGTGTTTTTCTTCTTTTTCTCTTAAACTACAGCCAGTCTTGATCTGGTTACTGACTCTCTGATTTCAAATATTTACTACGTTGATATCCTAGAATGCTAGCCTCTCGTTTGTACCTCAGGTTGTCAAATGCAGAATAGAAACAAAACAGACAATACATATATATACATCACCACAAACATAAATGTCTGGTCACATTCACTCCTCCAGAGTACTAGATATTTTTCGGGGCGGGGTTGAACCCATTCCATTCTCGTTAATAACTTACTTTTATTCTTCAGACGTCATACACTCACCCCAGAGTACTCGATATTCCTCGGGAAGGGGTTATAAGCAACCCCTTACTTTCACGCTAATAAATTACTTTTACTCTCCAGACGTCATACAGTCACCCCAGAGCACTCGATATTCCTCGCTGAGGGGTTATAAGCAACCCATTCCTTTCACGCTAATAAATTACTTTTACTCTTCAGATGACATACAGTCACCCCAGAGTACTCGATATTCCTCGGGGAGGGGTTATAAGCAACCCATTCCTTTCACGCTAATAAATTACTTTTACTCTTCAGATGACATACACTCACCTCAGAGTACTCGATATTCCTCGGGGAGGGGTTATAAGCAACCCCTTCCTCTCACGCTAATAAATTACTTCTATTCTCCAGACGACATACACTCACCCCAGAGAACTCGATATTCCTAGGGGTGGGGGTTGTAAGCAACCCCTTCCTCTCACTCTAATAAATTACTTTTACTTTCCAGACGTCATACACTCACCCCAGAATACTGGATATACATTTAAAAATCCCTATAACCCTGAGGTACTGGCGATCTGTGCCCGCTGCCTTGCCCCAATACTACGCAGAGGTCCGATGATATGCTAAAATACTGTGTATATACATTAAGCCTTCTACAATTGAAAAGGTGCTCGACCGTTATTCTATCCTTACATAACGGGCGCCTACGCGGTCGCTTTCCGGGCAAAAGGTGCCCGTGTGTTATTCTTGTATGACCTATGCGTAGTCTTGTCAGTATGGCCGCTTCCCTTTTCCAACTGTTCGGTCCAGGGACCGACTTCTTTCTTAACCTGCCACAGTTTAACAGGGTTATTTCTATTTCTACGCGCACAGCGGTTTTCCCATTCTCTTTTTACAGAATTTGAAATTAATAGTTTTAGGCCCGCTGGGCGTATATAGTTATCAACTTAATTGTTTCCATTTAAGATTTAATTAATTTAACCTTGTTCAGTCAATTCCGTATTTGTGTCAAGGAAGTTTTTTTAATTTCTTCTCACTTTTGACAGCTTTTAGGTATACTAGGTTGGAAATATGACCGAGGAATGACACTGGCTATTTTTATGTTTCAAATGAGACTCCAATTTCCTCCATTACACTACTACTTCAGAAAAATTCATTTTAATTTTTCAGGAAAGGCAAAAAACTTCAATTTCGATAGGATTCTATTGTGTTGATTTATTTACTTCTTTGTTCTGGGAAAGTTAACTGAAGGCCGGATAAAATTTTAGGCTCTTATATGTTTTCGCTCATGTTCTTAGTCGTTTACTTTACTTTTACCTTTCTGAATAATCAAAATTTGCGATTGCAAATGTTCCAAATTTGCGATATTTCTCAAACATGCAAATTTTTGCAATATTTTTCAAAATTATACAGAATGGAATTTGAACCACGGTACCGCAGAGATATCTTCTAGATAAACATTTGTTTACCATTCTGACCAAGTGTTAACAAAAAGAATATGCAATTGCATCCGAACTCTATTTTATTGTATAAAGCATTGCATGGTATTTTCATCCTGGGCGGTTTATGTTTAGTTTTATTTATGATTGTTTAACATCAACTATTAAAATCTATCACCGGAATTTATAAAGTGTAACATTATCTAGTTTTAATGTCGTAGAACTCATTTGGTTAAGATTTATGTTTATCTTATGGGTTTTTATGGAGGATATACCTAACTAGTGTTTTTCTCGCTTGGTTATACTGTTCCGCACAACTCGTCGGCGTTGCAGACAGTATTTTTAGCGCCGTTTATGAAGTTCACCACCGACCACCCCTTGCTTCCATGAAGTTTTTATTTCTCTGTATTTTTATTCAATTGTATTCTTGTTTCTTGATTGTTTTTATTTTCAATTTTCGGAGAGTGGGAGCCTTATCAGAACAATAAAAATGGTTGATTAATACATCAAGCCTACCTCAAAAGTTTTTATTTTTTATTATTTAATAATTAGAATAACAATTTGATAATTTCCTTTTCACACACAAGTACATAATGAAAAGAAGTTTAAACTTTGTCACTCCAGGAGACAAAACGTTTTGACAACATGGCACAAGAATAAGAGAAAATTACACGGATTTACAGACTATTAATAACATTGAATACAATTTACATTACTATTGGAGGAAGGATCGAAATGCGCTCGCTCTTAATCTTTCTCATCACCTCCCCGGCTTAACGTTTTCCTTCTTAATCTTATTCCTGAGTTGAACAATTTATGAGAATTGCCGCTCATTTCTCAAAACTTCTCATAACGCGGTAACCCTTGTAATTTATGGTGGTTTGGTATTTTCTCCTCGTCCGCACCGTACAACAACCCTTACGTAGAGCTCGGGTTTTTCTTTCAAATTCACTTTTGACCAATTACGGACCGATAATTTATCAAGTACTGGAGTTCGTCCATACGTAATTTTGTCTTGTTAAATTGCAACGTTAATAATTATTTCTTGGTAAAATATGCTTTTATATTTGATACAGTGACTATTATTATTTATTTTGAATTATTATTACGGTTTATTCAACATTCAAAATATTTATTAGCTGTTTTGTAACATATTAATACCAATATACTTTTTTGTTGTTATAAACATGTACTATTCATAGTAACAAATACATTTATTATCAAATATTTTTTTTAAATAATAATTTTTTGACTATAAGTTCACTATTTTGTAATTGGGCTTTGTATGTTGGTTCAGAGCCAGAGCAGTGGGGCCAGTGAACCTCCCTGGAATTGGGGATTCGTTCATTTTTTAATTCCAATATTTGTAATTTTCACGAGAAAGTAATAATGAGTTAATTATTAATTATTTTGCTATTTGTATATTAAAAGACGATCGAAGAAGTCAATTTGGAAAAACGTTCGGTTCCTTTGTCGTGCTTTCAAGGAATATTCGCTCAAGATAATGAAACTATAATTCTAAAGCACAATTACTGATTTGGTCAGTTTTGTAATTATGAATAATTTCTCTATAATTTCGAAACGTTATGTTAGAATAAATTAAATTTTATGAAAATAGATCAGAATCAGTAGTACATTTTGTGCTAATACTGTATTAGCTCCATTGCAGCTACGTGACGTTAACTTGGTTTTACTACCAGAAACAGAATGTACTAGTTATTTTCATCTGTTTTTGTATAATTTTATTTTCATTTTCCTTATTAGATCCATTGAAATTTTTGATCTTATAGTTTCATAGTCCTGATGAAGGCGATACTCCGCGAAAGCTGGACCAAGGAACTAAACGTTTTTCTTTTTACTTTGCATCCTTGATCTTTTTTTTAGATAACCATAATGATAATTGATTTTTGATTAGTTTTTAATAGTAATAATAACAGAGTTAATTATGTTAAACTGATGCAAATTTGAAGAATACAGTGTGTTTTAAAAATTTCAGGCATACTTTTCTGTAAGTGGGTCAAGTGTTTTTCATTTCAGGTAAGTTGTTAATATTTTTCTTTTATAATAAGTTATGTAAGAACGATGTATGGCAAAATAGACAAGTAGGAGAATATTGAAATATGGGATTATTCTTCGATTTTTGCCGTCAGTAATTTTCTCTCTTTGCTTAGAAAGATGTATATTAAGCAGACGTATGTGCCAGGTCGGTTAATTGAACCGTAACCGTCAGCTCCAAGCCGAGCTTTTAAAAAAATAAAAAAATAAAAATAAAGGAAAAAGAAATGATATGCAAATCGGTGCCAATAGTGCGGGGTGTTGCTGTTGAAGGTATCGATGTGGCTGGGAAGTGTCGGAGGATGCGGCGTGCTTGTTGCCATAGGTACGGCCGGGATCTGGGTCAGAGCCTGCGCGACCCCCTCTTCACGAAATGCCCCCTCTTTCAGCAATGCCCCCTTCCCATCCGCGCTCAATACCCGGCAGAAATCCGAGATAGGCAGAGCAGATCGCCGGCTGTCCCAGCCTGGTATGTTCCCTCCCATAAAAAGGTAAGTCTGCAAGTAAACAAAAGCAGTCCCGATCCTCCCTGGTCCTTTCCCGTCGGCCGATCCTTCCCGATAAACCGCCCTCGGGCTTCCTGGGCTGTCCTGAAGAGGAACGGAGGCCGCCGCGCCGGCAGGACATCGACGTCCTCTCTTTCTCCCTTTAACTCCCACCCTCCTTATGGGCAGGTTAGGCGTGGACCCTCCCTTCACGGTAAACACCCTTTTTATGCCCCAGACATCGGATTTACAATCGTCAAATCCTTAATTCTTCTTAATCTAACCGATCGTCTTGAAAAAAGACAGGTCCTTTTGTAAAGAACCCGTCAACGTCGGAACTGTAATTAAGGATTACACTCCTTTTCCTAATTTTCAATACAATATGATTAAACATGATTTTCAACGTATCGCCGCGAGAAACTTTGCAGCAGTTGGAGGAAAGACGAAAGGTTTTTCCCTGTTGCAAGCTGTTCGTGTTTTTGGGTGTAACCGCGATGAAAGCTGGACTTTTTTTTATAGATGTCACTGCAATCTTTCATAATGTATTTTCTGCCACTGTTCAATCTAATACTTGCACAGACGGAATATTATCGATATGAACAAAACCGCGAATGATTTCACGTCCTATTAAAGTTAAAATATGTTTTGAATAGATACAGCTATTGATGGCAGCTATGCTACCCAGCGCGTTACTGGGGCACGATGATTTTTTAAACTCATAAGTTGTTTTCACTTAAACGGAATATAATTACCGAGTAGTAATGGCCATGTTTTAATTTTAAAAACCAATCTTCTGTGCTTTTTTGCATATGTGTATTATATTTTATCAGGCTTCTGACTAGTGAAAGAACTTTTATAAAACAGCAGCACCTGGTCATCAATATAATTCGATTCAGCATATCTAAGTCACAATTTTTTCTATTTTCTTTAAAATAACGCAAAACAACTAGCCTTCAGATATCGCTTAAATAACCATTAGGGTTGATAGCGGACAAAAAAAACTCATTGAACTATTCCCTTTTGTTTTATAACATAATTACAATCGTTTGTTTAGTTTAATTTAATACAGAATTGTATAGCTATCAATGCTTAATTATAAACTGCTGTGTGTGAAATCAGAGTTGGTACATTAACAAAGTGTAAATATGAGCTTTTAGCTGATTAATACAGTTGAAAAGTTATTTTACATTGATTTTTATTTCGACTCTGTTTTCGTTGTGTACATTTTCACAAATACACTCAACACAACTAGTTTTCATATTTAACATTTATAAAAATTATCAAAGTAAAATATTAGTTTTAAACAGGAAAATCAGGGAAATATATCAGTGAGGCTGAAGTGTGCTGTAAAAAGATATTTCTGAAAATGGCCTGTTGAAATATTTAAGAGAAACTTTAATATCGTATTTTGAAATAGTTTGAATTATTTTTACTATCTTTAATTTAAAATAATCTTAACGGCTTTATGTGATGGTTGATAGGGAAGGGCGTAAACTGTCCATTGCGTCAAAAAAATTTTCACATTACGTTTAAATTCATAGTTTATCTTTGATATGATATAACTTATTTAAAAAATTTATAATATATAAAAACACAAACTTTTGTTTTTCTGGACGGTACAGTATTGGATTGTAAAACTTCCTCGTGATTTATTGTGCAATTCCAATTCAAATTTATCGGACAAATATATCAAAGTAAAAAATTAAATGTTATTGTAAAGCTTATTTGTTAAAAATCCATTACGAACTGATCTGGAAAAGTGGTAATTGTTTTGATCTAAGAGGCAATTTTTCCAAAAGCATTTAAACACAGAATATTTAGTCCTGAGATTGTTCGACCCTTTTGCTGTAAATAAATGAAGTCAATGATTCTCCAATCTAGCCAGTTCATCAGGCAACATGATTGGCCTTCTTGGGAACGATTTTTTAAAAACGACTTCATCCAGATTGAATTTTGTGAAAAATAAGCTCGCGTTTTATACATGCAGTGAAACAGAAGCAATTAAAGCTAGATCGATTTTCATATTCCTTTCGTATTTTCTTCGTAACCTTTCTTATCTATTTCTGAAGAAAATTGCCAGCACGAAAAAGTGTCGGATAGTGCAGGTATCGCAATAATATAAAAATAAGCAAGATTCCTCCTTATTTGTTAAACTAAGACCCAACAAAATTGTAATTGAACTAACTTTTCATTCCTATATACATTTATATACAATAAAAGTATAAAACTGGCCACATTTTAATAATTAAAATTGTGTGAAAATACTCAGAATTTTGTATTGACCCTGAGTTTCATTAAAAATAATTAGGAATCGTTGAAACTTTTAAATCACACTGAGGACGTTTTCATAAGAACTTGGGCTTTCAGCCATTCCTGATGAATGGGAGAGTGCGCATTTATTAAAAAAACTGCACTTGGCAAATTATACGTTTTTATCATATAATTATACGCCCTTTTAGTCCTTTTTAAATTGATCAGCTCAAAAAGATCACAAGAAGAAATAACAGTTAATGTTCTCGCCTTTCAAAAGTTAATAGTGTAAAAAAAAATTTGTCCCAGTTTTACATATTTTTTATAGTAAATAACTTAAAAAATAACTTTTTATAATATTCAGATCATTGTTATTATTTGTTTATTGTTTTAGAAAATGTGTACCTTTTAACAGTAGTTGATGGAAAGTAAATGCTTTTTTCTCTCTATTTCCCCATCTCGCTCTTTCACTCTCTCTCTCTCTCTCTCTCTCTCCCCCTAGCTCACTCTCTCATTATCCTCTCTCTTTCTTTCCAAAGATATAATATACATATCCGCTACCATAGAATTAAAGGAAGGATTTTTGTGTCTCTTAATTTATTTTTGTGAATTTCATACGTAGAGGTCTCTATTTCTCTCTCTCTCTCTCTCTCTCTCTCTCTCTCCCTCTCTCTCTCCCTTGCTCACCCTCTCATTCACTATATCCTCTCTCTTTCTCTCCACAGATGTAATATACATATCCGCTAACATAAAATTAAAGGAAGGATTTTTGTGTCTCTTAATTTATTTTTGTGAAAATCATACGTAGAGGTCTCTCTCTCTCTCTCTCTCTCTCTCTCTCATTCTCTTTCTCTAACACTTACATTTTCCTATTCTATTTTTTCGCTCACAAACACACTGTCCTTCATGTAAAAAAAAAAATGGAAAGCGATCGATTAAAAAATAGTAGTGCCATGACAGAGTAGTCTAATTTACCATTAAAGACAAACTTAATAATACTTGGTTTTGTTTGTTAAATACATTTACCTTATTTGTTAAAATTTAGCTTAAATCAAGTTATAAATATTTTACTATTTAAACAATCCACGTTCAAATTTAATTTATTTGGAATGAATGAACAAAAAAATGTATCAATTTTCAAAAGAATGATCGAAAGGATCAAATTATGTGCAAATTTATGTAATTATTTGAATTTGTAATAACATATGGAACTTAAGTTCAATAGTTACTAACACAAAATGAGCAAAATAATTTGAAATGGATTTTGTTGATAAATAATGCGTTTCATCGTTGATATAGTTGAGTTTAACGAAATGCATACTTATAATATAAGTTCAAATAAATAAAAGAAGCATGTTTTGATCTCAGTTTTAATTGTGAAAATGAATTAGTATTTTAGTATTTTTTTTAGTCTTGACGATCGTCCACTTTTTCAAATGGGGTCTGTCACAGTGCTAATGAAACGGCCACATCATACTTTACATCTACATCTTTACATTTAGACATCTACATAATACCTCCTTCTCAACGTCCGCAAGGGGTATAAATATGTTTATTATGCTAGTGCATGGTTTGTATTTTTATGTCGACCCATTTAAGCTGTTTTTCCTCCTTAAAGGCAATCTTTTTTCACTTTTCGATGGAAGAACGTGGTTGGAATTTCTGATTAAACGTTTCTTACTGCTATTATCAAGCGAATTATTAAAATCAAAAGTTTTTTCGTCGCGCTAGTGTTGTTTTGAAAATATTTGCACATATAAAATTAGTTTAAAATTAAAAAAAAAATCAAATAGAAAATTTAATGTTCACTATCTGCAACATTTTAAAATTTGTTGTTACTAAACAATGACATAGAAAAACAATAATTAACATGGCAATTAAACTCTGAGTTTTAATTGAATGTTTATGTATAAAAACCTAACAATCAACAATAATTCTAGGTGTTATTTCTTTTTGATTTTTTCAACTCAAAATGTATACAATGAAATAGTTCTCATAATGAAATTGATTGTTGTTCCAATTAAATAAATGTTTTTATATCCATTATTGTAAAATTCTTTTTTAACTATCAGGCAGTATGTAACGGTCGTAATCTTTTTTTAAAATATTTATTTACAACTGCACTTTAACTATGCAACAAGGAAATATGTTAAAACAATGAGTATGTTGTGTGAACGTGTACACAAGGTATGTATGCACGGAAAGGGCGTGAAAGGCATGAAAGGCGACCATACAATGCAAGACGAATGGAAGGGAGCATTAATTTCGGAGAATTTTAGATTGTATGGTTTGTAGTCTGTTAAAGTTAGAACGCTTGACAGTTCTAGTTGTGGAACTCCAGCGAGAATCTTGTAATCGGAGGAAAAAGTAGGGTTTTTTGATAGTTTGGAAGTTGTGTATTACAATTCACTATAAAAAAATTAATTGTATTTGTCATGTCATTGGCAAAGGTAAAAATGAAAGTGTTAGGGTAAGTGGGTCGATCCGCCGTGAAAATGATGTGTAGGGGAGGACCGAGTACGCAACCCTGTGGAACTCCAGCGAGAATCTTGTAATTGGAGGAGAAAAGAGGGTTTTGAACACTTTCGAAGTTGTATATTCAGATTAATAATACAGAAAATGAATTTTGTTTAAGAATAATAGGTACTCATGAATTATACCTTGAACAAAATATACAAGAATATTAATATGAAATTAATTAAAATCAGCAGTACAAACAATATATTGATGGGACCGCGGTAGCCGAGTGGTCAGCA